GCAAACGCGGCCCGAGCCTTGCAGATTCGTGCATTCACCTCATCTGTCACACTACAGTCAGAACTAATACAACTTCCAAGATACGTAAAACGCTCCACAACTTCCAGTGTCTCTCCCTGGATCATAAGTGGCATATTCAGTGACTGCACGTCCACAAGCATGACCTAACACTTTGTGGGTGCAAAGTGCATACCGGAGGACGGAATGAGACAGGCTGCTCCCATTTGAAATACGGTAGAATAACAATAAAAAAGCATCCGGAAAGCTTGAGCGGCAGAGGGGACCAAAAAATAAAACGAATCCATTGTATTCTGTCAGGAAAGTCCTGAAGATTATTCCGAAATACCCGAAACCTACTGAGACCCTCAAACTCCACTAAACGCCGATCAGACAACCTTGAATCAAGGTCACACACACTCAATACATAGCGCGAGGCGGTTGTATCTTCGCACTAACTTGTTGCATTAAATCTGTTGTGTTTCTTATCGGCGGCGAGTCTGTTTTCGGCACTAGGCACTGAAGCAAGGACAGAAATCAGATATAACACATTCAGATGTACAAGATGTGGAACTCACCTTTTTTATGTGAACGTAGTATCGAATATCCATCGTCGAATAGGTCTGTTTTCCTAGGCACTGAAGCAAGGACAGAAATCAGATATAACACATTCAGATGTACAAGATGTGGAACTCACCTTTTTTATGTGAACGTAGTATCGAATATCCATCGTCGAATAGACACGTCGAGAGGTGTTGGAACTTGCCTCTGATGCACTTCCGCTGACGGTTTTCACCGAGGGTCGAAGACCACTAGATCGAATATCAAAACTGACGACATCGCAAACCGCGTGTGCGAGATCGATCAGCACAGGGACCCAGCTTAAATCAAGATGATTGTCACGTGCGTCTTGTGTAACAAAACGTTGGATATGTGAATGAAATGCCCTTCTGGGAAAACAAAGAAAAACCGGAGGATAAGATGAGTGAAAACAAGAGAATGGCGGTGAAATACTTTGCGCCAAAACGGATGGAAGATGGAAACAGGATTAGATAAGCTGAAGAGAAAACTGAATGAGGGGTTTCAACCGGATGAAATATGTCAAACTGCAATTGGATTACCAAGAAGCTTCAGGTTTAAATTTGTAAATACCTCTCAGATGGCAACACTTAACAAACACCGTGGCACTACTCATACGAATGAATATCATGAGAACCACACTCAGGTTTTTAATGATTGATCGAGTGGTCGCAGATCTGTTTGCTGAGTTTGGGTTGATCTGTCATATGCTGTACCCTGAAAAGTCGCAGACTTTCAAGCGTAGACAAACTTCGTTGGCCCGACCAAACTTCTCAATTTATACAGAAATCTTACCCACTTTATTGCGTAACGTGCTCAAATAAATGCCTCTAGGCCTGGACTCTTATGGGCCGCACTCATCAATTTTGGAGAGTTGAACACTTAATTTGAACCTTTTGAACTCCCGCCTTCATTTCACAGAAGCGCACAGACTTATGGAATGAGAAAACCAGGACAAATATCTTCCCTCAATGAACGCGCTCACTAAATAGAAAATGAATCTGCGTGTATAAAGTATCGTCCAAAAGTGACAGCTATATCTATCGTCAATACAAGAATGCAAGACTTGGCAGTAAAAAGGCAACTGTGGAAGACAATTGAAATCGATCAATACTCTCCATACAAGGCATAGCAATGGCTGATTGATTCATTAATTGGATAAATAATTGTCTAGCTGTGGCAACCTTCCAGTGGCTAGCTGCATGCCACTCGAAGGAAGCAACAGGGTTGCGATATCGCCACGTTGCCCAAGCCTACACAGCTGCAGTCGAGATGCAAAGGATGGGTTCGAACTCATCATCGTCAGCTGTAAGAACCGCGTACTCGTCGTACAGTGGTTGTAGCTGCCACAGTTTCGTTCACCGATGATTTGGGGGGGGGGTAGGTAGCTGCGCACTGCACGCGCGAGCTGGTAAATTGGTGCATAAATC